AAGTTTTTATTTTATAAAGTTGTTGCATGAAAAGTATTTGATCTTTATTAAGTAAAATTAACAGTTTTGAAAGTAATTATACAAATCCCTTAAATAACAAAAGTATTAAATGGTGTTGTTTATGGTAATGGTTTATGGTTTAGGCTAAGGTCTGTATGCACTGCGATCAGCTTGATCTATTGTGTATCCCTTTGTATTTAGAAATTTGCACTCAGTGTAATGGTAAAATATTTTACATTTATAAATATTGCAACAAAATCTACATATATTTTTTTAATGATTTTCTATTAATTTTTTCAAAAGTTATAAGAAGATTATGTCTAAGAGATAATTAGCTCATTTTTAACTTATAGAATATTTTGACTGTCTATACTATGTGAAACACTACACATTTTTACCCTATACCTATTTCGTCTTGCATATAAAACCACATTATCGTATAACTTAATTATTAATAATATTTACCAACCACACGTAATGTTAACGTACCTTCGAAAAAGAATCTCTTATCATCACTTTAATTCATTGCTGATCTGATCTACTCTGTTTACTCAATATCTTCGATTGTTTGCCTAATGCCTTCTCTGTATTGCTACCAACTAAAGTAAATAAAAGCAATTTCAGCCAAACAAACTGGGAATTGGCGTATATGAGTTTTCCTGTTAACATTTTCATTTTACTCCGGACTCATTTGGATGATTTTGTACGCACAGGGACGCATTTACGTTCCACGATTTCAACGCAAATTTCCTTGAAGATTTTTAATAAATTCATGTTGCGGCGGCTAACTTGCCTTAATATTGCTGCAACTGCGTGCGTTTGTGTTAGCGTTTTCGTTTTCATTTTCATTTATTAAACTACCAACCACAACCACAGTCACAGTCACAGCCACAGCTACAAATTTTAGTATCCTTTTTATCTGTTGGCGTTGGCTGGATTCTAATGTTAAATTTGCGCTGAAAATCGATTATGAATTATTTACTTTACAAAAATGACTTATGAGACTCGGTATGGCTTGGCGCATTGAGACTTAGTAGAATGTCATATATTGTGAACATTAAGAAAGGAAATGATAAATGATTTTTCTAGTAAAGTACAAAAGCGTAAAGCGTAGTATCTTCACGAATGTACGGCATTTGTATAAATTTTTTGTGGTATCTTCCGACCATGTATTATGTATGTGCGTTTGAGGCAATTGTGTTGTTAGTCGAACTGAAAAATATTACTTGTTTGCTTTGTTAGAAATACTCGTACTCTTCCATATCATACTCCTCCATTCCTTTCATATTGAAAAGGATTCTACTCTGCCTATATATAATGTGCATAATAAATAAAAATTAATCATATTTTAAAAATGAAATTAATAAATTTTGAAATTTGTTTATTGCATGATTTATGATCTTTTTATGAATCGTTAGATTTTATAAGTTAAATGAAAAATTGTCAATAAAAAATATGCATATGTTATAAGCATATTCTATGTTAAGTACAAATATATTATAATGTAGGTTA